CAAAAATATAATGGAAACTAAGCTACATACACAGCCCCCAATCTAGACTAAAGGATATTGTATGACCTACAGCAGTTAACATAATTCAACTACTTTAACTACAGATATAAGATAACATATGATAACAGAATAATCTCACAGTCCTCATTAGGATTGGGATTTGTGTTGGTGTATGGGGCTGCATGTTGTTAGGTCTGCTGTTAAGTAGTAATTATGATCCAGCACATTTCAGGTCAGAGAAAGCAAAGTAATATAAAGAGTAGTATAATAAATCATTTTAACTTGGCAGTAATTAATTATACTGCTTAGCAATTGTGGTGACTCTCAAAGCAAAGTCAGAGAGAATCGAATGAGAATCAGAAAGTCGATAATGGAAAAAAAAATGGAATGGAATTGCTAAATTTTTATCAATTCCCATCTCTATTTATTCATAAATATTGACAGATTTTGATAAATTGTATTGAATCATCCGCATACCTCAGTGAAACAGCACTTGCTATTGTTTCTGCCAGATTCCCCTGGTTATTTTTAAAAGAGAGAAAGAACTTGCGAGAAAGCTGGAATTTGATGGCCTCTACATCACTGAGCAACCTGAGGATGATGACATCAAGGGCCAGTGGGACAGATTAGTCCTGAATACACCGTACGTAGATACAGAAAACAGCTTTTAATAGTGAGAAGCAGGCTCACAAGAAAATTCTGAAAAGCTTTTTTCTTTATGTAATTGACAAATGATCCTATTTTCCTGCAGCTCTTTCCCAAACAACTACTGGGATAAATTTGTCAAGCGAAAGGTGAGCTAAGATTGACTCAAGTGGTCTTAACTTTGAGCTCAGTACAGCATGTTCACATGTAATGGCATGTCCATGTCCAGGTTCTGGATAAATACGGAGACATTTATGGAAGAGAAAGAATTGCTGAGCTCCTGGGGGTTGATTTAGCTTCCCTGGATGTGAGTCAACAACATGAGAAGAAACAGGAAGAACCAGATAACTCTGTGTTTGCATGGTACCGTATACAGTCAGATGCACATTTGGCATGATTTCTGAAAACTAAAACAAGCACATTAAAGAGAATGTTGTCTCTTTTAAGGGTGACTTCTATTGACATCAAGTACCAGATCTGGAAATTTGGTGTGGTGTTCACAGATGGTGTAAGCAAACCTATATACTATATCATACTATACTATTTCTGCACTACATTGTACTAAATTATACTTACACATCTCTTTGTAGACTTTTCTTTATCTCTGTTGGTACTTGGTGATGTCTTTGCTTGGGCATTACAACAACTTCTTCTTCGCCTGTCACTTGCTGGATATTGCGATGGGTGTCAAGACTCTTCGCACTATCCTGTCCTCAGTCACACACAATGGCAAACAGGCAAGAGCAGGAAATACTCACTTGCACTAATGTTGTTTAAGCTTCACTTTGCTCACTCTTCTTTCTTCTTCTCCCTGCTAGCTCATGATGACAGTGGGCTTGCTGGCCGTGGTGGTGTATCTTTACACCGTAGTTGCCTTCAATTTCTTCCGCAAGTTTTACAACAAGAGTGAAGATGAAGACGAACCAGATATGAAATGTGACGATATGATGACTGTACGTGATTGTGGATGATAAACAAACTTTGTACTTCCTCTCTCAACTTTGCCACTCCCCACATTTTTTTTTTACTTTACAGTGTTATCTGTTCCACATGTATGTGGGTGTCCGAGCAGGCGGAGGCATTGGAGATGAGATTGAAGACCCAGCTGGAGATGAATACGAGCTTTATCGAGTGGTCTTTGATATTACTTTCTTTTTCTTCGTCATTGTTATCCTGCTGGCCATCATTCAGGGTATAGAAAATCCTCTCCTGGGAGACATTTATCAAATCCTTCATTACTCATCAAATGTTATAATTGTATAATTGGTTTGAACTAAAAGTAAAGAAACACAATGGGACAGTGTGAGGAACATCTGGATTACTGTTGGCACAGAAAAGTGATTTTAGGACATGTTCAGATTTTATATACATGTGTGATGATTGTGTTATTGTGTACTGCAGGTCTGATCATTGACGCCTTTGGAGAACTCAGAGACCAACAAGAGCAAGTCAAGGAAGACATGGAGGTACAGTCGTGTTCAGTGTTTATATTTTTCACACATTTATCATGCCACATTGACCACTGTTTTTTTGTGCAGACGAAATGCTTCATATGTGGCATTGGAAGTGACTACTTTGATACAACGCCGCATGGCTTTGAGACTCACACTTTTGATGAACACAACCTGGCCAATTACATGTGAGTGCCCCTCTTCTGTCTTACCTTGTATACAGTTAGGTCCATATATACTTGGACACTGACAAAAGTTGTGTTTTTTTTACCTATTTCCTAAAACATATTTGAGTTATATTATGGGTGTGGGCATAATGTGTAGACTATCTGCTTTCACTAGAGAGTATCAACATTTAAATTGAGTGAAGGGTTTCGGAGTTTCATCTGTTTAGCATGTGCTACTCTCTTTTTAAAGGGAGGGTGTCAAAAAAGTAATTGGACAATTGACTCAAAGGCAGAGGTGGGCAATTCTTTCGTTATGTCAATATCAATCAAGCAGATAAAAGGGCTGGAGTTGATTTGCGGTGTGGTGTTTGCATTAGGAAGATTTTGCTTTGAACAGACAACATGTGGTCAAAGGAGCTCTCCATTCACGTGAAACAAGCCATTCTTCAGCTGCAAAAACAGAAAAACCCATCTGAGAAATGACTACAATATTAGGAGTGACAAAATCTACAGTTTGGTACTCCTGAGACAGAAAGAAAGAAAGAAATCACTGGTGAAGTCAGCAATGCAAACAACCTGGACGTCCAAGTAAGACAACTGTTGTGGATTATTGCAGAATCATTTCAATGTTAAAAAGAAACTCTTTCACTCCTTCCCAGGACATAGGCGTATCAATATCCAAGTCTACCATAAAGAGAAGACTGCATCAAAGCAAATAAAGAAAGTTCACTGCAAGGTGCAAGCCACTCATAAGCCTTAAGACGGCTAGATTTGACTTTGCTAAAAATATCTAAAAAAGGAAGCACAGCTCTGGAAAAACATTATTTGGACAAATGAAACCTTTACCAGAATGATGACAAGAAAAAAGTATAGAGAAGTTGTGGAACAGCTCATGATCCAAAGCATATCACATCATCTAAAACACGGCTAAGGCAGTGTGGGCATGCATGGCTCCCAGTGGCCCTGGGATGATGTGACACAGGACAGGACAGAAGCAGCCGAATGAATTCGGAGGTGTTCAGAGACATACTGTTTATGTAAATCCAGCTAAATGCAGTCAAATGGATAGGGCAGCGTTTCATAATACAGATGGACAATGACCCAAAACATATAGACAATGCAACCAAGCAGTTTATTAAAGCAAAGAAGTAAAATATACTTGAATTACCAAGTCCGTTGCCTGATCTTAACCCAGTTGAGCATGCATTTCACTTGTTGAAGACTAAACTTTGGACAGAAAGGTCCACAAACAAACAGCAACTGAAAGCTGCTGCAGTAAAGGCCTGACAGAGCATTAAAAAGGAGGAAACCCAGCATCTGATGAGATCTATGAGTTCAAGACTTCAGGCTGTCATTGCCAGCAAAGGGTTTCCAACCAAGTATTAGAAATCAACATTTTATTCTCAGTTATTTAATTTGTCCAATTACTTTTGAGGCCCTGAAATGAAGGGATTGTGCTAAAAATGCTTTGGTTTCTCACATGTTTATGCAATCTTTTTGTTCAAGCCACTGAATTAAAGCTGAAAGTCTGCACTTCAACTACATCTGAGTTGTTTCATTTAAAAGTCATTGTGATATTGTACAGAAGCAAAATTAGGAAAAAAGTTGTCTATGTCCAAATATTTATGGGCTTAACTGTAGTATATCTGTACATGGATGCACAAATAAGAAAATATTCACAGGATCTTTTTTTTTCAGGTTCTTTTTAATGTACCTCATCAACAAAGATGACACCGAGCACACTGGGCCGGTCAGTCTGAAGGTTTTTATTACAGTTTTTCTTTAGTTAGTGTGCTCCATTCAAGGCCTCACATTACCTCTTGTGTTCTTATATCGTGTCTTTTCAGGAGTCATATGTGTGGAAGATGTACCAGGAGCGCTGTTGGGACTTCTTCCCAGCTGGAGACTGTTTCAGAAAACAGTTTGAGGATCAGCTCTCTTAAAATATTTCCTTCAAATATTTTACAAATGAGGTTGTCATGTCATATCACAGCAAACTGGAATTGTCTAGAAAAATCAAGAAAATCCTTTTTGTGAACTATTAAGATGACTATTAATAAAAACTTTAATAATTTCTATGGATAATTAGGAATAAGAAGGGATAAGAATTTGCCCTAGAAGGGAAATTCATGCCAGTCTTTTTGTAAAGTTTAGTCATTTAGCTACTTATTTGTAAAGCATTGCCTCTGACACAAATTTAGAGAATTTATGGATTTTGCTCATTAGTTTTCTAATGTCACTCACAGTTAACCTGTTTCAAAGAAAGCAGCTTACCAGTTAATGTGCAGTAACTCAAGCAGACTACCACACATATCACACATGCATATTAATTGTACTTACATACTATTCAGTCTCAATTATATGCTTTGGTGGTTGTGGCATCATTGGAACTTTAGCATATTTATTTGTTAGAACAGCTGATTTTTTCCAGTTTTAATTTCTTCACATACTACAGTATTTATGTTGAATTTTATTTACTGTTTTTTCCTAAATTAATTTAAAAGTCTGGGATAGTGAAAACATTAGAGTACATTACATTAGGGTAAGCTTGACTGTAATATCACTATTAGTTGATCTTGGACTTGGCATTAAACAGTATGTGTAATAAAGACGAGTTTGATCAGCAGTGGCTCTAGTAGCCTTTGTTTTTGTATTTAACACAATTAATAAACACACACAAAAATGCAGCAAGCGAAAGCTGCAATTCAAAAAGAATGAAAAAGACGGAAAAATTAAAACCAGGTTAATGTTCACTTCAACCATTTTTAAGCTTTTAAAGTTTTTTATCAAGCACTTCACCATTTATTAGACAGTAATCCTCTTTAGCCTGAAATGATAAATGCATTTATTCGCTGTCACTGAATCCCCAAGTGTGCATCCCACCATTTAACCTTTACTCTAACTATTTTTCAATGGATGCATTTTACTAGATTATATAATAAAAGTCGATTAAAGGATAACATTTAGATTATTTGTTGGCAACTTTGCAAAGTCATTGCAAGTTAGTTTGCATTTCAGCTACTAAAACCAGCTATTTAAAACCCTGGTAGGTTCCAATAAACCTACAATTTTTTTAAATGTGGACTTACTTTTTTTTAAGTAAATGTAAGTGCAAAAAAACTATTGTCTGATTAGACACGGGTTGATAAATATTCACAGTTTAAGATGACAATGCACTAAATTGTCCCCAAAACCCCCCAAAATGTTATTGTTTTTATTTTCATGACAGCAACAAAACCTCTGGAAGATTAATTATATTGTTGGCTTACTATTCATGGTGTGTATTTAATAAAAGAAATGGATGTCTGGTGATGGTTTGATGATTTAAAATGACTTTCAGTTGTAATATCCATTTGGTGTATGTAAAAGCAAATGGGTATTAAAAACAAACATTCAAAAACAATCGAATCATCCTGATTTACACAGTATCTCTGCACGCACTACAGCACTCTTTCTCTCATCACAACCCATTTTCATACCATGCTGCTGAACTTTGACTCTGTGGAGCATCCCAGCTGACTGGGGATTAAAGCTGAGCATTAAAAACTCACATTGAGCCTCATGTGCTTTTTGGCCATTCTGTGTGCAAACATTTCTCTCTCAGCCCGCTGGAGTCACACATCGACTGTAAACATGAACATCTCGGGGATACATCAGGGGATGCTCAGGATGTATGGTGAGTCGGATCTTTACTTCAGGTGTGGATCTTTCTAGCGGTTGGTATGTGTTGCTTTTTGTAGGGCTTACGGTAATTTTCCAGTTTGTTGTGTACTTTCTGTCATGCTATTGCAAATGCAGATTTTGTTTATATATTTATGTATAATTTCCATCATTATCTCATGGCATGGAGATGGTGTTAAAAAAAGGATGATAAATAGGACAAGTTAGCAATGCTCTTGAGTACAATTTTAATAAGAGAAACCTATCAGTTTTCTCATCTTTGTATCCATTAGCAACCATATTATGAGTTTTTCTTCAAATAAGTACAGACGATTCTATATATACATTGTTTCACTCAAGATCCAAAGCTGTGACAAATGCTGATAGAAACATGACCTAAAGCTGTAGTTTGAAAAAAATGCTAAAAAGATGCTTAGACAGTTGGTATTTTAATACCCATATGTTGTTTACCATTTGCATATAGAACAAGTAAACACAAAGTGTGCGTGTGATTACACTATATGATGTGCACACGGTGGTCAACAGGATCTGATTCATGCTTGATCCCCCAACCATCTGACTGCCTTTAATCTGCTGGGATGATGGAATGACACAGTGTTCATTCTTTAATCCACGTGTACAATGTTCCCTCTGCTATCTTGATCACTCTCAGTATCCTCTGGGGGTTTTGTGGTTCTGATTGGAATTGTTTATCACATTGTCATTTTGTCAACAAGCATTTTCTACACAATGACTGTTGACTTTTTCTCTGCATTTCTGGTTCAGGTGGATTTATTTTCAAACAGTGGAAGAAAAGATTTCTCCTTATAACTGCTGAAGGCAGTCTCCTAGTGTGCCATGATGCATCATCCCCTCCCAGCCAGCTGGTACTCTTGCAAAACAGTTGTGAGGCGATTGTGGAAGGCAAGGAGATCTTGGACCTACCTAAATTACCCTCTGGCGGGGGCAGAGATTGCTGCTTTGCTCTGATCCTGCCCCAGAATAAGTATCTGCTGCTGCTGGCGGAAACCTCTGCAGAGTGCAGGTGTTGTGGGGCTTTCTCTGCTAACTCTTGGGCCTTGTTTTAGATTAATGCTGCACACATTTAAGTTTCATATAACAAAGTTTGAGTGGTTTGGGGAATATGCCTTTTTGACTATTTTGAAACATATATGTCAGGTGAAAGACACATTAGCTACACATTCCAAAATTTCCAGGTATTCCATTGTTGTACATGAATTTGCATAAAGGTAATAACAATCGCTTTTTTCACTTTCAGCCAGTGGGTGAACGTGCTGAAAAAAGTGAAAAAGGTAAGTTAATAACATATTTATATTATTTATAATTATGTGTAATAATTATTTACAATAATGTTTACTATGTTCACCATCTATGTTTACCATCATTATTAATAATTGTAATTTGTTATCAAGCAAAATAGATGAACTTGATCACATTAATGAAAGAAAAATGATGTGATGCCCCATGTCAAAGAACATGGGGCATCACATCATGCTTTGTATGGCAGATTGGTCAGAGTAGCCATGGTGACCCCATCTACTTTGGTGCATACCACCTATCAAACCTTCTTGCAGACTATTTACACTCCTGGATGCTGCAGGATTTCCTTAGCCACACTGAAAAAAAATGATGAGAAACTTGAAAAAGAGTTCAATGTGCTGACTTGTCCTTAGAATCCCCCAAATCGGGATTCCTGAAGTCAAGTATGTATCTGCAAGTGCTGAAAAAACTAGAGCTTAGAGATACGTACTGAAAGCGCCTGCTAGGGCACCTGTGCAGGCAGTCCATGTCACAACGGTCAAAGCTTTTAAAATCAAAAGGGAGACCTACACAATAGACAGGTAGTTTAAATGTTTCTGCCTGGTGTATGTCATTGCTATTCATTAAATGTATGTATCAAAGAGATGTTTCACATAAAACAATGAATGTAGACCACGGGTGGGCAATCTCAGTCCACGAGGGCTGGTGTCCCTGCAGGTTTTAGATGTGTCCTCGAACCAACACAGCTGATTTAAATGGCTAAATTAGCTCCTCAACATGTCCTGAAGTTCTCCAGAGGCCTGGTAACGAACTAATCATGTGATTCAGGTGTGTTGACCCAAGGTGAGCTCTAAAACCTGCAGGGACACCGGCCCTCGTGGACTGAGATTGCCCACCCCTGATGTAGACCTTGTAGTGGTGTTAGAAAGAAGGCTGTGAATCACCAGAGTCAGTGGGGCGAAAAAGAAAAAGTGTGAATATATTTTCAGAAAAATCACTATTAGCATGCAAAATCATATTTTCTGTACACACACAGACTATACACTACACTATGGACTCTTTGGAAATTAGATTGATTTATTTACATAAAGAATGTGCTCTGCGCTTTCAGATAATCTTTTAATCCTTAGATTTTTTTTTAGTGTTTTAATCAGTCGATTAATTCATTTCTTTGAATTCCTGGCAGACATTGTGTTGGGAACATTATTTTTCTTTAACAGCATCTCCATTTTCTTTTCCACAGAGTCTCTCATCACCTCTCAGTCCTTGCAAGCGACATCAGATGCCACAACCACGTATTACTCTCCGAGATCTTGTGCCTGAACAAATCCTGGATAAAGATCCACCAACTCCACCTGTCAGCGACACAGAGTCATCCTCCCCTGGGCCAATGACTGGCGCTTCCCCGAAGGAGAAAGGTGAGCACTGGTGTTTCTTCTATTTTCATGTAAAAAATATTGCATAGATAGTTTATTAAAACATGTTTTTCAAACTGTTCATTTCAACAGGCAGGAATTCTTCCCGTACTAAGTATCATAAAGGAGGTGCATATTCAGCAGGCTGTTTGCGTCACGGCACTATCAATAATGCCCAAGCAATGAAGGCAGTTTATCTGCTGATGGGAGGGGCTGCTGCTTCCTCTGCCATGGGTTATTTAGGCACATGCTCATCTTCTAATCTGGAAGCCAAAGCCCCGGATCTGCCACTCTGCACAGATTTCTCCAGCATGGGACCAGCAGGAGGGTACCACACTGGCACTCCTGCACTCGACTCCGCCCACTTTAACAGCTTTGACTTTGAAGTGGCAGACTCTGATTTTGACGCTTTTGATTGTGGTGGATTTACTTTCTAATAATCTGCTTGTTGGAGACTGTGGATACGGATATATTTAATGGTACTGAACAAGTTGTTCCCACATATTTTGTCAAAATGACAAAACCATGTGAGGATATTTTATTAAGGGATCAATAAAATAACCCTGAATGTCAGTCAGTAAACCTGCAATAATAGCATTGTTGCTCATGGGTGTAGTGGCAGTGAGTGTGAATTCAACACTGACACAAATGTGATGTGCATTTAGGCAATAATACTGAGGTTCATCATTTTATTGTTGTGTTATTTTGTCACTATCATTTATCATAAAAAACATCAATTACAGCAACTTTAATAACACATGTGACTCCATCCTGTGGAAGAATATTATTTGCTGTTTTGGTTTAAATGTTCCTCTGTGTTTAATGGAGGCTCTGGATATTATGGGCACTAATTGAAGACTGATAGCATGATACACTTAAGTACCATTTGTGCGTAGTGTTGAAAGAGTCTTAAAAATTATGTAATAACCCAGATTGGATTCAAATCCATCTGTAATAGATACATTGACCAAGGACAAACTACTAGAGCTCCTTTTAATCTTTTTTCAGGTACTGTGTTCCTTTCGAACATTCAGCTGTTAATTGTCCTTGGATTTATGTTACATTCAAAGTAATTCTGTCTGAGTTCATTTCCTTTAAATGAATAAAAGCTTTGTGTGGAAATGTGTTCTACTTGTTCTCTTTGTGCAGTTAGTTACTAACCACCTAAACTGAATTTCTTGCAAATACTTTTAATAAAGAATATCCATTTTGCATTCAACTGAAACCAACAAACTCAATAAAAGCCAAATTAAATTGAAATTAAAACAAAAAAAGGAGCAGGGAATGAAAAAAGACAATAAACCTCCCCCTGACTGGCAGTTTGGTAATACCTGAACTAAATGTCAGAGGACACCTGATGGTGTGACACATCAGGCAGGAGTGAGGTCCCTGCTCACAACGTGCTTGTTATAAGTTATAACTAGAATAATTTAACCATTCTACGTATGCAATACATAAAGTATATACAGATTCTTCAGTAATTTGTGTTGAAAGCTAAATAACACATATTAATTCTTTTTTGTTAATACTGTTAATACTTTTTATCATTACATAGTTACTAAAGTAACACAGGCACTAAAAGTACATTTTTGTCCATTATTTTCTTTTTTAGTTTAAAACGCTTTTAATAAGAAGCATTAGTTAACAAAACTAGACTTCTTCCTAGTGTAGCTTTGCAGTGATGTGACCATTTTTGAGGTAGCTTGCAAAGCTATGCTTCTTGAGAAAAGTAGCTTTAACGCTGTTTGGTAACTACTGTAATGCATGGGTCACATCATCACTCTTTGAATTTTCTCTTGTTCTCTTATTTAAATTAAATACAACAGACTGTTTTTTTTTTTCATTGTAGCTGCTCACCAATCAAGTCACTTATGAAGTGAAATCAAATTCCTTCTATTTGTGTAAATGCATGCAGTCTTAATCACCTTCCTGGCACAGCAGCAGCTTAAGACAGTCATAAAAGCCTGTGTGTGACTTCACTGATACCCTTATAGGCCCATATAGAGCCAAGGTTCAAGAGAGCTTGTAATTAACACTGTTCTTAATATTCTCTCTTTGTTCATGCACTAAGTTGGGTTTTTTTAAAGTTCAAAAAAAGTAACTAAACATCATCAGTACATCTGTCCTACTTGCAGTGGAGTGAAATCTGTGAGTATTCTCCACACAAGGTCAGTCAGGTTTTCAGCATGTGCTTGGAGTCTGACAAACTTTCCACTTGTCTCTGCTCCTGTTTGTGATATGAGCCCAGGCCACAGCCAGGGTGAGAAGAGTGTCCAGTTTAAGAACAATATCATGCCTCTGTTTTTTTAAGGGTTATTTTTTCGTAGTGGAAATTACTATGTGCTTACAGTATAAAAGTATGAAAGTGAGTGTTAAGTCTTAAAATAGTGTTAAGTCTGAGACCATGGTTCACTGTTGGAAAATGGTGGACTGCTTCCTCTGGGTTGTGAGTGAGTTGCTGCCTTCTGAGAGGCCTTTGGACAGGTCGACCAGTGAGTCACTGAAAACTGTCACAGAAAGGATGCTGAGCAGGAGGCAAGGCTTTTGATTTAGCAGTCAATCTACCTTCCAAACATCCACTTTACTAATTAGGTCTGGAGGGATTCTTTAAACACTTTACTTGGCTTTGGTGGTTGGACCCAGCCTCACAAATAGTCCATGGATCTGGCACATCCACAGCTCAGGATAGAGCTGCTTTTCCTTTGCTCAGAAAGAGTTTGACGAGATGGCTCAGGCGTCTGATTAGAATACCATCTGGGAGACTTTCTTTTGGAGGTTTTCCAGGCATGACCAGCTGGAGCTGTAGATTGCTTGAGGGATTACTATGTGCTCATGTTATGGAGCAACTGGAAAATCCTCCCCAGCAATGTTTCCAGCAAACTGAAATCTATTGCTGGGGAGAAACGAGAGACCCCTGGTGTGCCCACCTAGTCTCCTGCAACTGTGAGCGGACCTGGGAAGACTGGAAGAAGATAAAAAAAAAACGAATAAACAAACTATTAACTAATCTAGTCCCTCAAATATTTCAAAATAAAGGTACTTTCATTGTGAACCAATAAAAACTATTATTTACAGTTGCTGGTAGCAACCACAATCTTTTTTTTCTTTCTTTTTTAACAAAGTTAAAAAGTCACAGAAGAATCAAGATTCAGGTCTTTAAATTTTCTAAGCCAGCCATACAGTCATAAGTCAGCCAGGTTAGCTAGAAAATTAGCCTGCATTTAAAGACATCTAAGGTTTAGCTTACTAATTTAGCAGCACACGTGACCATGGTTTCTTGACGTCTACAAACAGAAATATCTTCAGAGAGAGGTTTGGGCACTTATAAACAGTATCAGTATCACAGCAGTCTGTGTAACTTAAGTACACAACAAAATAGACACTATAAATAACAATAAAATGTCTAAAACCACCACCAAAAACAAACATAGCAAAGAAAGCAAAGTTGGTTGCTAAAATCTCTAAAACAAGACAGAAAACGTGAAAATGATATCAATAAAATCATTTTCATGACAGCAAAAATAAAGGAATCATTTTAATGATCACCACTACCACTACCATCAAAACCAGTTAGAGGCCAGAAGGTTTTTTTTAAAAAAAAAAAGAAATTGTTGGAGCCTGAAAGCTAACAAGATGTGCAACTGTCTCTCCCCCCAGGCTGTTATACTAAGGACTCATTTAGCCCTTTTGACAAACTCTAGAAAAGAGTGAACGTGCACACACACACACATGCACACTCATTCATGAATGCTGAATGCTGTGTACATTTGTAAGTAAATATTGCCTTTTTAAGGTGTGTAATGTGTAAAGTGACAAAGAAGAGACGTCTTGTTTAATCTTAGGATTGTACTGCATGTGCGAATTTACATTGTGTAATCACATATGTATAATACCAGTAATATAAAGGTGATATAATATGAAGTAATATAATAACATAATATAAATGACATATACTGGCTGAACAAGCATTGGCAGAGGTCTTTTTCATTCACATCCTTTTGTCTGAACATACAATAACAAAATTATTTTTTTATTTTAGAGGCTTGGCATTCAAGTAGTGCTTAACAAATTTATTAGACCGCCTGTCACAAAAACAAGAAAACAAATCTTTTACAAATCTGTCAAAAACTTGTTTAAAACTAAAAAGTTAATTTGAAACATCATAATTGAAATTGCAGCAACAAAAAATAAATATATATTTTTAGCAATTACCAGTGCTGTGGTGGTCTTTTAAATTTGTTTAGCACTGTAAAGTATGACAGGAGTCTATCTTAAAAGAAATGTGTCAATAGTCATATGCAGCTTTGCTGACAAGGACAGTCTTCTTGGCAGCCAGTTAGAGCCTACAAAATACAAAGTCTTGTCCTACAGCATTCTGAGGAAGTATTCCAAGTACAATACCCCGCCCCTGTTTACTTATATCTGCCCTCATGATGGAAATGTAAATTTGTAACACGGCACCTCATGTGCAACAGTCCGTCCCCCGCCCTGTCTAAATATCTCAGCCCTCTTTACAAACTTGTAAAGAAAGAATAAACATGCGTGCATGCACATTTTCATATTCAATACCTTTAGGTAGGAGTCCTGTGTGTATTTTTTAGCTCAGTATTGTGTTTTTATGATGTGTAAAGTGACAAAAAAGAAATATATCTTTAAAACTAGTCACTATACTTCATATGCACGAAATTGTTGAACAGAACATACAAAGAAATAAAGATAAAAAATAAAGTAAAAACAAATATAGAATAATCATAAGAGTACAAAAGTGGCCCCTTGTAATCCAGGGCCTTGTTACAGAGGGCTTGCTGGTTGTTTGAAAGATTCAGGTTTGCTGGCTGTACTTTGCAGATCTGGAAACTATGTCCATCTTTCATGTTTGAGACTCCCCTTTTGTAAACTAGAGTCAGTTAAAAAACAAGATACTGTTCCATTATGCGTTGTAGGACATGATAAAAGAGAAAAGTTCTGTACAGTCACACACGAAGTGGGACAGATGGTAACAATATGTGCAGATTTGTTTGATTATAGGATGTGTAACATCATGCGCTCAATGCAATGACTGTGAAACGTTTTAACAGTCGCTGATTGAATGAGATTAAAATCAAAATTCCCACTTGTCCTGATTAACGCATGGTGATGTAGTGAATCCCCACCTTGACGTCAGCCGCAGCCAATAGGACTTCACGGTCATCGCAGAAGCCCTGCCCACTTTAGCAAGTGCAGTCTGTAGCGGTAACAGGGTCCGCCCCCTGTCTCTGCAGATAAAGGTTCGCAGTCTGCTATCCCAGGCATGGATGACGGTTGTAGTGAGACATGGCAGTCCGACATTACACTCTCGACTTCAACCTCTCTACAGCAGGTAGGAGGAAGGTGATGCATAGCTGATCGTAGGAGGGTCTTTCGTTACATTTCGTTATGTATCAGGGCTGCATGCTTGGCTAGCCTGCTAATTTTGGCCTGCTAATTTATAGTCAATACTGCCAGGATTATAAAGTGCCACTGGTACATTGCCCATGTTTAGGCACTATATGCATGTGCCCTAGTGCTATGCTGCTTGTGCCCACCAGTACAAACCCCTGTCCGTAGGCAGGTACGGCTTCACACTGGTAGGCCACTATTAGCTCGTGAACTGTCACATCAGTATGCATATTTAATGTCAGTGGCACATATTTACAGGTCAGCGTAAATGTCTGTTTAGCAGGTATCTTTGTGGATAAAGCAGCGCAAGCAACTACGGTTGAAGCCAAAGTCACATCACTGTCAGTGCAGCATAAGCTTCTAATTAGAGCTCAGTTAGCTTTGGCTAGCATGGCTATGATTAGCCTAGCCGTGTTAGCAAGTCTCTATAATCAATAACAGAGGGCCCGAGCGATCTCATCAAATAGTTGCGAAAAGTACAGCTTGAATTAATATAATGCGGATATGTTTTATGACTTATACAGGTGTGTCTGTTTCATAAGTATAAATTATAACATCAAGTCTGAGTAATCGTTGTTTAATCATGCAGCACGCGCTTTTCGTCGACCTAAGTCTGTGACCCCGTTAACACTCGATAATCAGTAAACGCATGTAGTAAATTGGCACCCGTGCGCTTTGAGGGCTCTGCCAGACATTTATAGTCCAATTAAAATCATCCAGGAAGACGCGCATGTCTGCCATTGTGGTTTTACCATTAACTGATAGTGGTGTGAGAATGAAGCTATGAAGATTCAAACTGTCATTAGGCTCTTTTTTTTTTTTTTTTTTAACCCTTTGTTTCAGAAGTCTGTTTAGAGGAACCAAAGTTTGTCACAGATAATAAATGGAGTATATGATAATGAAAGTGAAGTGCAGCTGTATTTGATTAATATATTTTTGTTCACATCAGATTTATTTGCTCCCTCTTTCAGTTGACCCTGCCTCGACAGTGTCTGGTCTGCTGTCTATATTTCATGAGCAGGAACTGACAGAGACTATTCATGATACAGACGGGCATGGTTATCTAGCTACCTTTGTGGGCAAGAATGGCAGGTAAGGTCAATATTTTTTCATAAACAAAAGTGACTCCTTCAGTCTAATTATAACTCTTTAGCAGTAAAACTTGGATTACTAAATCCTAATTGGGCAAAAGATTTTGTGTATTAGGATGTGATAGCTTAAAGCTAATCTGGCTAGGGTACTTGTTGGCTCGTCTTCAATCAGATTTGTGTCTGTATAAATAAATAATAGGGGTGCAACAATACTAATATCGATATTGAACAGTTCGATACAGTGCTTTCGGTACGCATATGTATCGAACAATACAAAATTTTTAAATTTATTTGATCAACTTTTCTTCTGACGATGCTGTCTGTGTTGAGCGCTCAGTGGATCTGCGCTCGACAGTGCAGCCTAGGCGGAGTAATCGAACGCAGATTCACTGAGCGCAGGGCAAGCTAGCGAGACAGAAGTTAAGCTCTCCTTGCAACATGCCAAATTGAACCTCCCCCACTCTCATTCAGACCTGGCGTTTGGAACCATTTTGGTTTTCATGTGACGTATGACCCTGAAGGCAAAAGTAAAACAGTATGTTGGATGTGCCACCCAATGCTCAATTACATTGGTGGGAACTAGTGCGTTAGCGCAGTTTTCTCGTTAACGTGTTGGCTGTGCAGCCCCACGCACGGGGCGATCCACGTTAATGTCATTTCAGATTAACGCTGACAGCACTAGTGGGAACACAACGAATATGACTGCACATTTACTCCGACATCATCCTAGTGCAAAGACAAGTGGAAGCAGACAAAAGCAAGCACCCATGCTACAAACTTTACCCGAGTCATTTGTTAGCACATGATTCTCCTTATGGGGACCTGATATGTTTAACCCTTGTGTGGTGTTCATATTTTTGTTACTCAGCCAGTGTTCATGGGTCTGGTGGACCCGCTAGAGTTTTGGCTTTCCAAATTAACACTATCAAACAATTTTATGTTAAATTACTCAACAGATGTTTACTTCATCCCAATTACAAGACATATGAACAGCAAACATGGTTAATTTTTTCCCTTTACCTTTGTTAGATCACATTTATGAATTAATGTGCTTCTCGTTTTTCTTTTATATAAAATGTTATAAATAAATCAGTTATAATCAAGTGGAGTGAGCGGAAAGACACAACACATTTACATTAGGCCCAGGGTTGTAAAACAGGGGAGGTGGTGCACACACTTATCCCACACTGTCCTGATGGCAGCTAGCTTGTCTCTCTGCCGTCGAGCTGGTCTGTCGTCTCGGTTATCAAAACGGATAATCCTGGAAATTTTGTGGAAGTTTTCCAGAGACATTGATGCACGGAAAGGTTCTTGCCGGTTTCTGCATCCCACAGGGATTCTGTGGATTCCCCTTTGGACCTGAAAACTCCTGCAAGGATAAGAACCCCAAAGTAGGCCTTTGGGGTTCTTAGATGAATTTGGTCCATCTCCTTCCACCTCTCTCCAAAAACACACCTTCCTTCTAGATTACTGCAATCCAGAATAATTTTCTGGATGGAATCTGGGATGAAAAGCTCAAATGAAGACTTGATGTCCTGCACATGAGTAACTGTCAGCCGTGTTGGCCCTGGCTTATCACAGTAACAGCTCTGCAGGGTGGCTCATTTCTTGGGCAAGAAGACCATTCAATTTCACCAGTTATTGACATCCATATTTCTTCACTTGCTGTCTGGTGGGCTTGTTCTGGTCCTGGAGCTGGCTGCAGATGGGGTACTCGTCTTCGTTTTGTTACTAAATGGTGCTCAACCTCATCCTCTTCTTCAAAGTCACTGTCAGACTCTGAATTTTCAGAAATGTGAAATATTCTGAAACCTCTTTGTCAACATCATCATCCGAAGCCCCTCTCTCTTCCAAAATCAATTGGATGGCCCTCGCAGCAGATAATCTTTTGCCATCTTGATCAGTTGTGATAAAGAACCACACTGGCAAAGTCTTATTTATAGTATTATGCCCCTAATTTGCAGGTGGGACAGGGTATGAGAAAATAAAATTTGGATCCCTCAAGAAAGAGGGTAAAATGTGTGGGAATGTCAGAGCAGACGGTGTTGATAGTTGAATTTTCAACAATGTTGCAACTTTGTGCGGGAGCAGGAGGGGAAGAAAACACTATCAGCAGCACCAGAAAGGAGGAAGACAGAGTGTGGGAACACAGGACCTACACTTTCAACACTTTTATTAGACCTGGGTCCAGTGGACCCAAACACCTTGTATGTAATGTAAATGCGTGGGGGGAGGTACAGTATGAGGTCATTGAAAATTAGTTTGGATTTATGTTCTTCACAGAAAATAAGCCAAAGCCAATGAATTTCAGGTTGAAAAAATAATGAATTAATTTCTTTTGAAAAAAACTGAAAATGGGTCTCACAGACCCAAACACCATACAAGGGTTAATATGCTGCTGAGAATATAGCCCAGAAGAAGCATACAGTATAGCTTTTATTTTGGAAAGAGCCATTTCTCTGTAACAAACTCCTTTCCAAAGATGAGTGATTCCTCAATCAGATATATTTATTTTTTTTATTACTTTGTTGTTTCAGCGACATTAAATTTAAAAACTGTACTTTTGAGTTAAAATATATATTTATAATTTTAATACATGACAAATTAAAAAGGCATAAACAGGTTTTTTGTTTTTTCGTATCAAAAAAAATATCGAATCGAACTGTGAATTTTGTGTATCATTGCACTCCTAATAAATAAGTGTACTAATATCCCAAAGCCAGGATGTGTTTTCACCAAATGTGGGTCTTTGGAGAAGTCTAAAACTTGTGTGTTGTCTGACTCTCTAAGCAACGGCTTCTTGATAGACTTCCTGATAAATCCTGAGCATGCTTCTAGTTGGACAGCATTGCAGGAATGTTTCAGTTAACTCTTCAAACTTTAAAAATATTACCCTTCAAACTTCTTTGCAACAGAGGAACTTTTCACAGCTTCCTCTGAGAGGTCGCATTGCACACGTTGAGTGGCTTTTTTTGTTTTTAGTTTAGTGTTCCTCTAACTTCGTTTTGCATCGTTTTCTCTTTCCTACATCAATTCTCAGGTTTGTTGTCCTGCGTGTGCACTCCCAGGGGCTGGTCACAGTTGATTTGCAGTGTTACGAAGATGATGACATTGCACAGCTAGACAATGTAAGAGCATACACAGGGCTATTGTTTTTACCAACATTGACACTAATAAGGTTAAACATCTCTGGGACTATATAATGATAACCCAACCCTTTTTGACCATAGGCATCTTTAGTGTCTGTCAAAAGATACTTACAGTTACTGTCTGTGTACTGGCTTCCTGTATTCAAACACTTTCACATCCCTAAATGCTAGTGCATACACGGAGGGTTAAATTACACCAACTATGGTGTTGTTTACTCCCTACGTGTTTTGCATTAGGGTTGTCTGTGTAGCAATATGAAACCTTTCACAAATTTGGTGAAAGTTTAAGCTGCATCTATTCTTACTCCACAGCTTTTGAATGCACTGGAAAATAAGCTGAAAGTTCTCTTAAATGGCAATATTACAAGGATTAAAAAGTAAGTATCACTATATTGTTCTTGTAAATGTATCGTACTTCATGGTGCAGTATTATTTATCCCCCCCCCACCTCCCAAAAGGCTTCCAGCCCTTTTGCGAGGAGCAAAAGTTGACCGCTACTGGCCCACAGCCGATGGCAGACTAATTGAGTATGACATTGACAAGGTGGTGTATGAAGAGGATTCTGAATACCAAAACATAAAGATTTTGCACTCACAGCAATATGGGAATATTCTAGTTCTGGATGGAGACGTTAGTAAGTATATAAATCATGGCATGTTGCTTGCACACAAGATTTTGTTTTTTCAAAATGACTGTTTAACTTAGTAGAGTCAGTCTAATAAGAATTATTTGTTTTGCCTTTAAAAACAAATTTTTCTTGCAGACCTTGCAGAGAGTGACTCTGCCTACACCCAGGCCATCACAGGCAGTGGAAAAGAAAACTACGCTGGAAAAGAAGTGCTGATTTTAGGAGGAGGTGATGGAGGAATACTTGCCGAGTTGGTCAAACAAAAGCCAAAGATGATCACCATGGTGGAGATATCCTTTACTGAGCTTTTATTTGAGTGACTTTGTTCATATTAAAGCAAACATTCACTTTTTTTTTTTAGATCACTCCAAATCTCCACACTTAGATTTGCATTGTTCTCAGTGTAATTCTGTGTGTGCATCTGACTGTTCCTTAATAAAGCTTCTACATTGACCAGAAGGTGATAGATGGGTGCAAAAAATACATGAGGAAGACTTGTGGTGATATCCTGGACAACCTGAAGGGAGACTGTTACCAAGTGAGTGCTGAATTGTGTGGTGTGTTTTTGTTTGTTTGTTTTTTTTGTGTGTGTGCACATTTGCTCAAAATGTGTTTTGCGTTATTAATATTTATTTTTAAAGCGGCAATGGGCAGGACAAAAGTTTTGAAGCAGGGGTAAATTGAATATGCATTTTGAAAAATCTCCTCGTCTCATGGATTGCAGATATTAATTCAGGACTGTGTTCCCTTGCTGAAGAAGTATGTCCAGGAAGGAAGGACATTTGATTATGTTATTAATGACCTCACTGCAATCCCAATATCCACCTCGCCAGAAGAAGGTATTGATAACAATAGCCATACATCAGGAAAGGTGGCACACAGGTGCAGTGTGAAGAAATGTTTAACTTGTCACATGCTGTCTGGTTTCTGTAGACTCTACGTGGGAGTTCCTGCGTCTCATTTTAGATCTATCTATAAAAGTGCTGCATCCCAGTGGAAAGTATTTCACACAGGTGAGTCTGCTCCTAATTTACCATACAGTTCATGATTGGGAGATTTTGTCAATACTGTTTTTAAAGGTGAACTAAATATTAATTTATTTGAAACACTTCATGCGATGACCAAGCATCATTTCTACTGTGTGTCGGGGCCTAATTATTTATCTGTATGAGTCTCATGAATCTTTTCTGCTGCTGGCCATCAGGGCAACAGCGCAAATCTGACCGAGGCACTGAATCTGTTTGAGGAACGGCTGGGAAGGCTCTCGTGTCCAGTGGACTTCCGCAAAGAGGTGGTGTGTGTTCCATCCTACCTGGAGCAGTATCCTTTCTATAAAGTCCCATAATTTATAAAAATGTTTACTGAATTGAAGTATTAAGGCTAGGTTATCATTTCTGCTTTCATTAGAAGAGAAATTAAATAATGGTGTTTTGCTCTTATACTGTGAGGGAGAAATTCAAAGTGTCTGCTTTAAAAAAACAAAAACAACCAAACAAAAAACCCCAGACATTCAGGCACTGTCATAGGTCACCTTTGCATATGGACTGATTATTAAAATTGGGATATTTGCTTGCTGTGGTCACCTGATCCTGCCAGTGTAGTTTAGGTAGCAGGCACATTAGGACCATCTGATTTTAATAATCCAGTCGAAGCGTCTGTCTGCAGGTGCCGCTTGCACGCACTGCAGCACTATGCACTCTAAACACCACTGATCTAATTGAAAAACGGTCTACTAACACACCAAAGCCACATGCAGGTGAATAAAGATGGTCTTCCCCATCTATCTAGCTCAGTTTCAATCCAGTCTAACATTTATTTGTTTTTGTGTACATGTGCAGTCCTTAACTCAACTATCAGATGGGTTTTTTACACCGCCTGGAAAAAGTAAACAAGTTCTCCTGAAATTCTCAGCAGCTGGAATGTGAAGGCTCCTAATTTCTTCTGTACCCCTCAGTTGTACGCAAATTGAATGCAGCCTGAAAATTGGAGGCCACACAAAATTCAGTTTAGTTTTAAATGTTAGGAACTATTCAGATATTTCCAAAGTCTGAATTGTTCACACACCTCTGTGCACATTGGTGAGCTTCTGCTGACTGACTAAGACAAGTAATTTAATTTGCTGTTTTCAGTTAACAAACACTGACTGAAAAACACTCCAGCTTAAACCAGTCAAGTTGGTGTGGTTAAGTTATGAGAGTATGTGTGTGTATATATTTTTTTTTTCTTTTTCTATAGCTGACTCAGTTCTCCTCGAGGCATAATTGCAGTTTTATCATCCCCATTCTTTTAATTTTACAACTTGTCAGTTGTATTGTTTGTTACTTGAGGTTTTTTTTTTTTTCTTCTTATAAATGTCCACTTGCATGTGCTCTGAAGGAGCTGTTGGAACACTGATTTTTATACACTGATAATGTGGAGTAACTCATTTCCCATACATATGTACTCATTTTCTGTAATCTTGAGTTATGAAGTTGAATGAACGTGCCTCTGCGTGAGCCAGTGCACAGGTGCAGCATACCCAAAGTGTCACTTTTATGCTTCATTTTTGTTGCTGCCTTTCAAATGTGATTTCTTTCAGGTTGTATTAAGGTGGTCACGCCCAGCGGGACTGAGGGGCTTAAATCAAAGTGTTTTAAAAGGGAAACTATTTCTCCAAAGTTACCACCACCTCTGCTTGTGCTGTTTTGTCATGTTTTATCGGCACCTTTTTGTTTTTTCCTGATAAAGTTTTTGTTAAGACTGTATTAGGTGCACGTAAAGAACGGTGAATGTAGCTTGCATATACAGTACAATGCACATTTGATCTACCCTGTGGGACATTTATTTATTCGTTATTTCATTAAATGCTGTCCTTTCCTGCTTGAGATGATTTTGACCATCTATGATTAAACTGTTTTTGGGGGGAACATACCTGTGGTGTTTGACTCATTCCTCTTGATCACTGTTATCTTAAGAAAAATGCAAGAGACAGGAAACGTGACTGTTTTTCCTCGTAAGAACTAATATTTGTCCAAAACTTAAAGTACCAGTTTGTCAGCCAAAATCTTAAAGCTTAACTAATCAAATCTAAAAAAAAATAAGGCAGAGGTTTAAAAATGTCAAACTGCAGCAGCAGCTCTTGCATTTGCTTAGAATGTGTTGGGTTTCTCATTCTGTGACATGAGGCTATAAGATTAACCATCCTTACTTTCATCACTTCTCAAGTCTTGTTTCTTAAAAGTGATTTGACTACTCTTGCACTAAAAAAACAAATGATTACAGACTCTGGCTGAAGCTACATGACTGTTGTATTCAGTGCTGCTTCCAACAAAATCTGTCCAAATAAGAGAAATTCAATATTTATTCTGTACTTTCACATCAGGTTTTAGTTTCCTCGCATATTTTGTTCTTTGTTAGTGCTTAACGCTAGCTTGAATTCCTTTTGTACTAGTCTTCTGGCGCCATTTGCCACTTTTCCACTAGTTTACACAGATGCCATACTAGTGGTGGTGTGTTATGAAAACTCTGGTAAACTACCAACTGGTTTAATTTAATTGGTGTACCATTTAACCCAGTAGTTAACTAGTGATGTTTATCAGTTTGACTCCAGAGTACTCTGGTACTGTATACAGAATTGTTATTCCAGAACTCTTATTACTCATTCAAATGCAACTTTGCAAACCTAACATGTGCGGCTATATTCTTTTTACGGAGAAAGTTTTCTGCTAGCAATGTTTCCAAACAAGCCATACTTGTTCAGTCTTTAGCATTTAACAGGCTGAGGCCTGTAGAGTCCGTTTTGTTTTAAGTTTCTCACAGTTTGAGTATTGCATGGTCTGACATTGGGAGGTCCCTCCAGGGAACTTTTACTTCTACTACCATCTTTGCTGTTGGTGAATACTTCCTTAGATTAGATTTCAATTCATTATTCTGCTGTATTCTATTCTATTGTCCTGAACATATGCCAGAGGATATCATAGTTGATTCAAAGGTACTGTGGCTGCAAAACAAGCCCAAATCATCACCCTTCCAACACCGTACTTGACAATGGTATGAGGTATTTGGCCATAATACACGGTGCCATCTCTGGTGAAAACCAAACACGGCGTATTAGCACCAAAGGACATATCTTGTGGGGTTTTTTGTTTTTTCCCCCAGATGCAACTTTGCAAACCTAAGCTGTGTTGCTGTATTCTTTTTCTAGAGATCACACTTCCTCTCAGGAACTCTTCCAAACAAGTCATACTGGTTCAGACTTTTTTCTAACTGTACTGTCATTACCTGAACATACCAACGCCTGTAGAGTCGAGTGTTTTTGCCCCACCAGCAGAGACCTAGCTTCTGCTTTAATGGAGGTGCTCAAACTTTCTGATGACCAGTTAATCAAGTGCATTTGGCTGATATTTGCCCTATTAGTTTCTTTGGAAGCAGTAAGGTTGGACTTTTTACAGCACTGCAATAGAGACCAGTGAAAACTTTAATTTCCCTTGAATGTAAAAGACAGTATGTGTGCCACCAAATGTCCGATCAGTCAGAATCTAAAGTCTTGTATCAAGGGTAAACGCTCCAATGGCTTTTCCAGACATCCTGCTTAAGTGCATGCTGTTTACATTGTCACGGCTCTCTTGGACACTAACTGGAAATGCAGCATGATTAATACAGCTTTGCTTCCCCTGCTGTGACACATCAAAACATCTTACTTTACTTTAGGTGCTTTTAAATTTGTTTGTTAGACCATTAGAGCAATTATGTAAGCATGCATACATTTCAACACTGTTTTAAAAGTGAAATCTTTGTTATTAACTTAATTTTTTTTATTAGAAATGTAGGTCTGTGTGAAAGATTTAGTGGGTTACATTAGTAAAATTAATTTACTTTGAATATTAATAATATATAATACTTTAGTGTTCAGAATATCTGTAAGAATACAATAGGGGAAATTTACATTATATTGTACAAATATAGCGCTCTTTATATATATATATATATATATATATATATATATGAGCGCTGAGAGAGGCGGCTTTGTCCCTCCACTATCAAGAAGTTTGTGAGTGTCTGTGCCGCATGTTGATCTCGTTGAGGACCACATCCATATTTGAGTCTTCATCTGCTGTGATTACTCTGTCTGCATATGGGCTACCTGTAAAACAGTGCTACTGTCATTATTTCAAAAAGGGAAATTGATATATTCTAAGAGTTGCAGCAATGACAGAAGAAACGCAAAAATGTCAGTTCCTACCGATCCCATCACTCTGTTCTGAAATGTCACTGTTGAGGAAAGAGGAGCTGGAAGAGTTATTGCCACGTGAGGTACTGGAATGAAGAGATGTGTTGTTGGTCAGCGATGACTTCTTTGCAGTCTTCTGTGTTGCAGTGCGACTCCATTCTGTTAAAAAAAAGACCCACATGATGAAGGTAAACGTGATTGTGAATTGCAATTATCGCACAGTCCATCCATTCTCTTCCGCTGGAGCCTATCCCAGCTGTCTTAGGGCAGGAGGCAGGGTACGGACAGGTCACCAGTCTGTTGCATGACTAACACATAGAGACAGGCAACCATTTGAACTCACATTCACCTATGGACAAGTTAGAATTACCAATTCAGCTAACCCCACTAACTGCATGTCTACGTGTACCCGGATAGAACCCACGCAATCCCACAGTCGATAAACGTATTTCTTAAATGAAACCAAATAAAGGAGTAACCTTCACCAGTTTGAGGCACACAGTATAAAACGAACACCGCTAACCTGAGTTCTCAGATAGTCTCATTTTGCCGCAGCACAGATAGATCCTCCACTGCCTCCTCACGGTTTCCTTCACTGCACAGTGGAACACGAATATAAAGAAACCTACAAAACAAGCGTGTTTGTTAATGCCACGTTTCACAGTGCAGTAGTTACTTAGAGGAGCATTTAAAAACCAATTAGAGAAAAAGATGCGATTGTATTTTTGTTGTTAAAATAAGAGAAGAGGATGACGTCAATAAAAACTGGTTAAAATTGAGGACAAAAGAAAGGAAAACAGCAGAATTACTATGTAAACTGACCAGATTTGAGTGAAATCACCATTATTTCACAAACCAGCTCAGAAAATGTCAGCTCACCTTGCAGGGAGTTACAGATGGCAAAGAGGTACATGAACGCCAGGTTAACGGGCCCCCAGGCAAAAAAGGCAAAGCCCCATGTGAGGCCTAGCAGGATGGTTATCCCCAACACACTGCGCACATCCTGCAGTGTGCTGCGGTGCTGGAGATTTTGAGGGTTTTGTTTTTTTATCCGGCACAGCTGGACCATAACTACAATAAACATGATGAAGTTAAATATAAAAATGACGCAGAAATAGGCCACCACTGCCACGTAGAAGGCGATGTCATTTTTCAGCCAGCAGCTGTGGGAGAGTCGGAGGAGAATTAAAGGTTGTTCTGAGGTTTTATATCATGGATTTTATGTAGGATAATGTGCAATAATGAGATTACAAATAAAGTACTCACAACTCATCAGTAGTGCCATCACTAAACCTTCCATAGGAAATGAGACCGTAGTTGTTTTTGTCAATTGCAATGACAATAATGACCACGATCATCGGGATACCCCAGCCAGCCAGCGAGAACTTCAGCATGTAGTGCGATACATTGACGTTGAAGACTTTCACAAGTGCCACGTACATGTGGACGGCCTCGAGACCCATCCATGTGAAGGCAGCTAGCAAGAAGTAGTGAAGGAACCAGGCAGTGGAAATGCAAAGGCCCACGGCGTCTGGGTAGAGCGCCAGCCAGGCGTCCACCAGGAAGACCAGATTCAGCAGGAGCAGCGCAAAGCACAGCTGGATCAGGATTTTGGATGGGATGTCTTTGCGCAACTTGCTGTTTAGGCGAAATTATGAAGACAACATGTAAAAAATACCTCAGCGAGCAAAAAATAAATAAATGAAAAAATTCATAGAGCTTTAGCAATAAGTAATGAATAACAGATCTAGATCATCTATTTTCTGGATTTCTATACGTACCCAAAGGCCAAGTAGGTGAGGATGGTGACAGCCAGGAAGATAGCAGAGATTCCACAGCCAATGTATGTGATAAAGGTAAGGATGGTGCTCTGGACACGACTGGTTATAGGCTGCCTGGAGAGGTCCTTTATGAAGGAGATGCCCCCCAAAAGTGTTATTATTCTAATGAATAATAACCAAACATGACAACATACATGACAAAATGTATTTTGGTGATCTTACCAGCAGGATGGCAAAACTGGTTAAATGGTTGCAGCCACAAATTGTCTCACTGTCCGTGCTATTTTGGACAGAACAGCCATTTGAACTCCAGCCACCCGATCCACCTGTGGGCAGAAAACAAACACGACTCGTGTTTTTACACGTCTGTTTGTGTTCACTGAAGCTCTTAACTCATGGCTGGACAACTTACCATTTAATGCAAAGTCCCAGAAAACACACGTTGCCACAAAATTTGCCTGTAATTTGAGAAAAAGAGTTTATCATCTTTAATTGCACATGATAGTTTTCTCTCTATCTCTCTCTCTCTGCTAAGGATGTGTTGCTTTTACAGCATGTTTGTGGCCTATTGCTGCTACATTTAACCACACACACATGTGTAGCTCGGTCGTATAGCTCCGGCATGTGTGCGCTGCTACAAACTGGCTTGGTTTGTCTGGTTATACCTGTAGCCGAAGCCCTTAGGCAATGCTTCCTCCAGAAGTAAATTTCTCTGTGAGGACACAACCATTTCCTTTTAATTTGCCTTTAGATGACAGTTGGTGAAACCAGGCTTACCGGAATAGGCTCTTGGTTTTTTAGGGTGATTATAACATTGTCTCGGAGTCCTGTGATTGACAGGTTGGCGACACTTGCTCCTAGGATCCCGCTGTTAAGCCTGCGTACTCCCAGGGATTTGTCCTGTGTAGCCATTTAGAGACAACAAAACAAGTTTGTAAAGAGTGTGTAAGTATCAGATTTAAAACACTACATTAAAAATAATGTAAGTTGGCGTTTTTGTTAGTGGTGAATAAGAAGGGGGCTGCTGGTTGAACTGTCAGACCTGGAATACGGTGCTCTTCTGGTAGAAATTGAACTGAAGTCTGGAGACTTGCTGCTGTTCCTGAGATGTGAGATTCTGAGTGAGAGAGGCAGGCAGCGTGACGGAGCCCTGAGGGATCGAGGAGTTTGTTGTCACGCTCCTTCTCAGTCTGGGATTCCCACGGACCTGTAACACATATGGGCCTCAAGCTTAACAGACTCGATCATCTGAGAGTTGTTTTTTGTTTGGTTTTTTTTGTTTTTTTACCCTGTTTTCTATTTGGGGCAACTGGCGTCTCTCTACTAGAGATCACTATTTGGAGGAGCAGCTTTGTTCTTCCAAATAGTGGCAAAAATGGCTGCTTATTCTTCAAAACATTTAGTATTACACCCACATTCACAAGTGTAATCCAGGGATTTACTGACAAATCATGTCATGTCATTGTGAGGAAAAGAAACCGTCAGAATTTCTGACCTAGATCACCTGGTTGTGTTTTTAAAAGAAAAACAAGTCACACGATTAAACCAATTTGTTGTATTTTATGAATTGATCCTGTTTTTGACTGAACCACTTTACTCTGAAAAGCTGAAATAAATGTAGTTTTAAATTTAGTTTAATCTGAACTACACATGCAAATACACAAAATACACAAAATCTGAGTTAGTATATTCTTCTTCTTTTTTTAAATATGCCAATTACAACCTGAAACAATTACTCCAACCTCCCTATTAAAATAATCATAAAAAATTTAATCGACAGTAAAAAGGCACTAAATATCTTCTACAGGCTTCTCTAGACAAAGCTGGAAATGCTGTGTTATATGAGACACAAAGCACTTGTACAAAAGTGAAAGTTATTCTTCCCTACCTCCACATTGGTGGGGCTTGAGATGGAAAAAGTTGTTTTCTGAAAGTTGGCGCCATCTGCTGGTGTCACTGACAGAGCAACAGCCGGGGACAAAATGGTCTGAGCCGTCCCTCCAACAACCAGCTTGAGCCCCACTGTATCAACGATCCCTATTATCCTGGTGAGAATAAATGAATAAATAATAGTACGTGTCATTTCTTTAATTACAACAAGAAGCAATATTACTGGGTAAAAAAAAGATGAAAATAAGAGTTGGAATTGAGGTGTTTTGTCCTCCTATGGATGGAAGAGGAAAACTGGGGTTTTGTTGGTGTTCTTTAGAGCCCATATCTGGTTATTGTTGTGAGTAAAATAAAAATAAAAACAGTATGGATCAAATGCATTGTCCACCCCATGAAATAATAATGTGAAAAGACCACAATAAATAAATAAATAAATAAATAAATAAATAAATAAATAAATAAATAAATAAATAAATAAATAAATCTGTAACCTGTTGGAGGACTGTGACAGCACAGATGGAGAAGCACCCAGGAGATTGCTGACAATGTTGACTGATGTGTTCCCCAGCCCTATGCTGACATTTGGGCCTGATAACAGAGCCTCCAGCTTAGACACCAGCTGATTCACCTGGCTGGAGTTCAGTTTGGACACGTCTTTCGTCTCGTCAAGCAGTGCGTTGGCTTGGGCCTCAGCTGCTGTCAACACAATTTGACGACACAGTGACGCTATGATAAGGAAAGCATTGCCACAGAGATGTGCACGCAACTGAAGTGATCACAAACCTGACGAATTTGTTGTTGTACTTCCAGTTGTCGTCACAGAAGTGTTCGGATTTGTGGTGGCTGTAGTAACGGTGAGTGTAGGAGACTTGGTTGTAGTTGTGTTACCCGTACTTGAGTTATTAGCGGTAGTGATAGCTGTAGTTGTAGTAGTGTTGACTGTTGCTGGCACTGAGACATTAGCAGCACTGGTGGTGGTGGTTAGATTCACTCCTTGTGTTGTATTCAGCGGCATTGAAGTTGCATTTACAGCAATTGTAGTGCTATTAGCAGAGCTGGTGGTAGTGGCAGTGCTGTTGTTGGTGGTGCTGGTGGCAGTGCTGTTTGGTTGCACGGTTGTCACATTTGGGCTGGTTGTGGTGGTAGACACGTTTTGAAGATCACAACTGTCCTGCAGCTGCATAACCACATTGTTTTGTTTTTGACTATTAAAAAGAAATAAAGAAGTAACATTTTACTTTGAATCCTTTTGATCTGTTGCAGCACATTTTGTATAAATGTGGTTAGTGTGCAGGATATTATGGTCATACAAACCAAGTGAGGCTGCTAGACTTTGCTGCAGCACAGAAATCTGCAGGCTTTATGTCCGTGCTGACCCATGTGAACTCAGACTGCAGGCTGACATTGGCTTGTAAATTTCCACAAATTGCTGTGGAAACACAAAAGCACCAATGAGAAGCTTTGCACAAGCCGTCACTTATTTTTTGACTGCTTGAGCTGATATTTCAGTCCTCATCTTGTTTTATTTTGGTTAGTATACACACCCGCTCGGATCACATGCCCGCTGAAACTGATTTGTTCCTTAGACTGAAGCAGATACACCACAGCATTTGCTACATCACAGACGGGGACCTCACGGGCAAAGGCCAGAATCACGCTACAGCTTTGAAGGCTATAACGGAAAAAACAAAAAGACAACAACAACAGTTTTAGCCTAGTGTTCAAATGCAACAGATGCATCAGTGAGATTTAATGTGAGTTTTAGACAAAAGTTCTAACATAGCTGGACTCACTTTGTTGACGTGCTTGCACATGCCACGTTTGCGTTCTGTGTAGAAATGTCAGTTTTAGAAAAATAACTTTAAATGAACGTAATAAAGGAAACTACTAAAACATTTTTAATGTGTTAATATAATAATAACACATGAAATGCAAATTCCTTTGGACATAAACTATATTTTTCCTGTGTGATGCCATTACATGGTGAGTTTCTTGTCATGTGAAACTGGAGTATTTTTGGGGTAAAAGTCAGTAATGTTCAAAAAGACATTACTGACAAAATGACATCTCTACAGCTGATATCTTCAAAAATGAACAACTCAAAAGATGTTAATCTAGATGAATAGATTGAATCTCCTTTAAGTCAAATAAAGAAATTCAATTCAGTTTAATTGATTTTTTTTAAGGTTATCTTTTTCCCTAATGCAACCTAAATGCCTTACTTACATTTTGAAAACTTGCTTTTGCCCTAAATCATCATAACAGAGATAGAAAAACATGGAGGCAATAATATCATAATTTGGTGGTTGAATACCTTGTACTCAGATGCATTAATGGACACTGGACATAGACCTCTGCAAGGGAATATTACAAGATTGTTATTATTTTTTGTATTTTACATGTGATAAAAAGTTATTTATTTATTTAAAAACTGGTGACAAAAAACAAAACTTACTCTACACTTGGAGAGCAAGGTCGCAGCTGAGAAATCTGTTAAAGTTGAAGATATTAATGATTCATTGATGCTCCAAGAATTTATTCATATGATTTTTACATTAATGATTTGTTTATTTATATGTATTTGTGTTCTGTGTGAATGGAAGATTACCAGGTTGGTGACATTTAAATAGTTTATATTGGGATCTTGTATGGAAATGTTAAAAGTGTAGTATGCATCTAAGAAACAAAGAAACAAAAAAAAAAGGAAAGATAATCAAGTCACCACGCTTTCAGACTGTGTGATTTACATCATAATGCAAATGGTTTTGATAGGTGACACTAACCTGATCCACTGCAGTAGTCGGAGCAGTTGCAGTTGCTCGTGGTGATGTTGCCTGAAACAAAGTCAAAGCATGATGGTTTACAGTGTGGATCGAATCAAGGCACCTTCAAGACTCTACTTTTACACTTTAAGGGAAAAATACATTTAGAAAAAATATTTAGAAGAATCTTGTGCATTTTGCTTTTTTACAATCTTATTTGTTCAGTTTTTAATTGTCTGTGTTGCAAGTATGAAGCAACCCCGAGCTGCTGGCTAACCTGGCATGCAATCAAAGGCTTAATGAGTTTCCTTATGTTTCCAGTTATTATGATAAGCTAAATTAACCAGATGCTTTGTACAGAACAGGGTTTTTAACCATTTTCTATTTTTAGGCATCTGCTAAAACACTCACAGAACAATTAATCCTATATAATCCTCAAATGCTCTGTAGCGTGTCCACACGATTTGGTATCCAGGTATAATGTTAACTGTGACTGAGACTTAATTAATATTATTCTTTTGAAATGTGTGTTTCCTGACATGCCCTGAAGTACTTCCTGGTGTCTTTTAACACAAGTGTGTTGCTTCATCAGGTTTCAGTAGCAGTAACAGTCTAATTCATGTATTGATGCAATGATGTTGTTTGTTTGTTTTCATGGTTGGTCCATTTAAACTGAGCTTAACTATGCTTACATTGAATAGTTTGGAGCTCACCTGCACTGCAGTTAGTTGAATTACTTGGTGGAACCACATAGGCAGCTGCAGACTCATTACTGTAAAAAACAAACAAACAAACATGAAATTTCACAAAACTAAAGTATGAATTTAAAAAGTATAATTTATCTTTGATTAATCAGTTAACATTTAGCACTTGGGAAAGCACAGACTGCCCGTACTGAGGATCTTACCATGCTGCGTTGTCTTGACCAGTGTAAATGCAGCTGTTTTCTACTGTGCTGCTGTTATTGCACACATTTTGAAGCTCACCTGTTAAGCGACACAGAGGATTTATTACATTGTTACTTTTATAACATCCTGCAAACGTATCAGGTAGGTAACTATGCATCACTCACCCACTCTATCTGCCTTTTTCCCCAGCACGTAAAAATCAGATGAAGTGTTAGTGGCTGCGCAGAGAGTGCGGAGGATACAACATGAAGACACCGCCTGACTCAGCTTCAGCGTCACAGAGCACGTGGTGTTTCTGCAGCATAAGATCAGTGTTAATGTAGGGATCATGAGATAAGCTTATTTCAATGACTTGAATGTCTTTACTTCACTTACCTTATTTCAGTTTTTGTCACGCATGACACTTCCATTCCCTGGTAAAACACAAATCAGGCTAAATTCAAGTGATCTTTTTCATTTACAGAAACCTACAGACACAATTAAGTGCTCACTCACTTGAAATAGGCCCGTTGTATTTATGACATTAGTGTTCGAACTGAAAAGTAAATGGAGATAAGGTTAATGGGTGTCAGGACTAACTGATATGATTCGTCATCTCAGTGGAATTAGGACTGATTGTGCAACTGCTCATATGATCTCCAGCTTTATGAAAAAGTCAAACAAGCGTTGCTTATTTTGCTTAATGCTTATTCAAGGGGATTCAAGAGGGGGGAAATATTGGAAATTCAGTGTGCAGGCATCTCATTAGCTGCAACTTTTGGCTGCTGTCAGCAAAGGAAATAATCAAAGTTAAAACTAAACTAAAACTAAAGTAAAAGCAGATGTGAAAAAAAACTTTTTGTTAACAATAATAAACTATAACATGACTAGAATAAAAGTAAAAAATGTGAAAAAATGAAAAACTAGCTGAAAAGATTTTGTTAACTTGGAAATCGAACTAAAATAAAAAAAAAATTCTTAGTTTGAGCTTTTTTTTAGTTTGGTAAAAATGTTAAACCAAGAATGAAATTAATAAAAACTAAACTAAAACAAAATATTTTTACAAAAACTAAACTGAAATGAAAAAACAAAGAAACTAAGTGAAACTAAACTGATTTAAAACAAAAAGTCGAAAATGAAATAACAATAAAAACACATTTTAAAAATACAAAACTACAATAACTCTGAATGTAATCTCACCTTAAATGATAAACGTAACAAATCTTCACAGTGTGGGTTCGACAACACAGTTGCCACAATATATTACAGAAAGTGCTCCATGAAAATTCATAATCTCATTTTCCATCTGTTCATTTATTTGATAGAAATAGTTGCACTCATACCTGCTTTGTGTCCCATTGCCACTAACGTCCCGAGCTACACGTATCAAGCTTCTTTTCCGTTTTCTTTTTCTTGCTAATGTTGTTGTAGTGGTTGTGAAGTTGCCTCCTGTTGGTATTGCTGTTGTAGTCGTCCCGTTGCCTTGTAATGTTGTTGCAGTGGTTGTGAAGTTGCCTCCTGTTGGTGTTGCTGTTGTAGTCGTCCCGTTGCCTTGTAATGTTGTTGCAGTGGTTGTGAAGTTGCCTCCTGTTGGTGTTGCTGTTGTAGTTGTCCCGTTGCCTTGTAATGTTGTTGCAGTGGTTGTGAAGTTGCCTCCTGTTGGTGTTGCTGTTGTAGTTGTCCCGTTGCCTTGTAATGTTGTTGCAGTGGTTGTGAAGTTGCCTCCTGTTGGTGTTGCTGTTGTAGTTTCCCGTTGCCTTGTAATGTTGTTGCAGTGGTTGTGAAGTTGCCTCCTGTTGGTGTTGCTGTTGTAGTCTGTCCTGTTGCCTTGTAATGTTGTTGCAGTGGTTGTGAAGTTGCCTCCTGTTGGTGTTGCTGTTGTAGTTGTCCCGTTGCCTTGTAATGTTGTTGCAGTGGTTGTGAAGTTGCCTCCTGTTGGTGTTGCTGTTGTAGTTGTCCCGTTGCCTTGTAATGTTGTTGCAGTGGTTGTGAAGTTGCCTCCTGTTGGTGTTGCTGTTGTAGTTGTCCCGTTGCCTTGTAATGTTGTTGCAGTGGTTGTGAAGTTGTTGCCTCCCGTGGGTGTTGCTGCTGTAGTGCTGTTGCTTTCTAAGGCCGTGGATGTTGCACCTGTACTATTGCTCTGTAATGTGGTTACTGCAGTTGTTGTGCTGTTGTAAGTGTTCAGTGTTGATGAGGCCACTTGTGTTGTCTCACTGACAGTACTTGCAGGTGTAGTTTGTGGGGAGGTCGGTGTGGCAGTAGTTTCTGGAGGGTTTGGAGGCACGCAGTTCTCCAGCTTGGTGCTGAAAACCTGCTTGAGCTGAGGAAAAGAGCATATGGTTTGCTGACAGGATTTAAGCATTACATCTGGTGTTTTAATAAGCCTGCTGTCGTACATGTTACATACCCAGGCAATGATTTCAGATTCGTTCTTGCTCTGTCCAGTGACATCCACCGTAATGTCAACAAAGTAGTATACTGCATTACAAAGCAAAGAGAATCATTGGCAAAAGTTGCTAAACTCTATAACGGAGGACAACATACCAGCTGCTTGTAACAAAGAGGCAATCTAAGGGCTGAGAAAGGGAGCCAAAAATAGAAATACCAAAAATGAAGTGACTCACAGTCACCTGATGTGTTGCAACTGAAGCTGGCTGCTCATTTTAAATGTCAAACTATATTTAATTTCCATGGCAAATATTGTGCTCTGTGGTAATTTTAACAGGGGTGGAGTTTTAGATAGTTAGCTTGTTTGTGTTGTTCTTGCCATTTGGAGCACTTTTGTTCTGTTACATTCCAAATTATATGGCTTTCATGGTGGTTAATGTTAACAGGCCATTCAAAAATGTGCCCCAGTTTTGAGAATTTTTTGTATTTTTATTTAGCCTAATTTACTTAAATACTATTACCTGCACAAGTCAACTACAGTGGGGGAAATAATTATTTGATCCCCTGCTGGAAGTGGAAGTGCTCACTTGCAAAAAAATGAACAGCCTCTAATTTTCAAATAAATAAATACATTTAAAAATAACATAAAAGTTATGAATTCATTTGTATGTCATTTAGAGAAATAAACATTATTACTACCCAACCAGAAATCCAGCTCCCGCAGACTGACTGCGTTACCATGTGATACACAGATTTCAATACATCGATCAATCAAGAGCAGATTCACCTGCTCTCAATTCATTATGTGTATAAAGCACACAGAATCAGTTTCTTTCATTTAAACCTCTCCGCCATCATGAGCACAACCAAAGAACGGTCAAAGGATGTCAGGGACAAGATTGTAGACCTACATGATCATCCTGGGGGAGGAGAAGCCTTGGGAGAAAGTGCTGTGGTCAGATGACGCCAAAAGGGAAGAGAAATGCTGAGTATGACCCAAAGAAAATCTCCCCACAGTCAAGCACGGAGGTGGAAACATCATGCTTTGGGCTAGGTACAGGGGACTCCTACACACCTGCATCCCATTCGAGACAATCGCCGGGGGACTACTTCACCCGGCGCAGATGGCTGCTCCTCGCCAGTCCTTTAGTCACCCCTCGGTGGCAACTAGGCTCTTCGTAAGTTCTGTATTTACTGGAGAACTTTGGAATTCATCTTAATCTTGTGTCTATGTACTTAGGGAACGACGTTCGGCGCTGGAATCCTGCCACCTGCCTGTCCCCATGCCTGTTCGCCTCCCATCCTCGTTCCTGCCTCCTCAGACTCCCTCCATGGACTCTTCCCCCTCTGAGTTTCACGGTCCGGCTCTAATCATAAGCCCTGACATTTAACTTTTTCTGGCTGTTACGTGCCATTCCTCAGTACTCTAGTAATTGTGTTTCTCCTCTCTGTTGCAGTTTTCCCTCAGTCCAGATTATCGGCGCTCCAAGGTTTTCTGTTCCCAGTTTTTCCCTGGCTTGAGTTTGTAGGTTTGGTTCCCTTGTTTTCATCAAGTTGCTTTGTTTATTAATAAACCTGTTGATAGTTCTGAGTGGCTGCACATTAATCTGCTTCCGGGGTCCTTATCGTAAGTGTACACTGAGGTTCTTGACAGTGTGAGTTTTCCCCTGACCTTTGTCGTCGCGTCTGCTTTACCCCCGGGGCTCTTCTGTGTTCTGTTTCCCCAGTTCAGGTCTACCTCTGTTTAGTTTGTTATTTGCTTTCCCCCCGTTTGGTGTATCTGCCTTAATAAATGGCACACTTTTAGTTAATTCCCATTTTCGTCTCACTGTGGTCTGCATATGGGTCCTCACATAAAAGAATCCACACAATCTGCCTCCGCATATCGTGCGGAGTCGCCCCAAATCCTTCCTGAGGTGTGTGCAAACCTTGTGACCAGCTATCAGTAAACTTGTTATCTCTGTGCTTGTTTCTCAACCAAATACTAAGTCAACCAAGTATTAAAGTTTTGCTTGAAGATCAAACACTTATATCACTGAGTGACATACAAATCAGTAACACAGATTAAACAAACGTTTTTCCTACAAAGCCAAGGGGTGAGCAGATTTTATCAGGGTTCATTTACCTGATATTTGTGGAGCTGTAGTAGAAACAGTAAAAGGGGAAGGAGTTGTAGTGGTCTGGTTGCAGGAGGCTTGCCCTGATTGGAAAAGAAAAAAGTTCTCAGTTACCACTGTTGGCAACTTCATGGAGAGTTTTGGGACCAAAAGCCAATTGTGTGTATTGAACACTAGACACCACGTTGATGGACATTAATATGATCCAGTTTCAGTGTAGAAAGTTCCTAATGTGGTTTTTAAATCCTACATGCTGGAAAATGGGAATTCTGAAAATTTTCAGCACATAAACTCTGTTTTTTAAAAAACAGAACACTTTAAAAATCAATGCACTTTATGGTAGTTGCACAAAGTCATTGAAATGCATTTCCATTCCCTCACTTCCTGTTCTCTGTGTGGTCTTTTTTAGTCTTCTCCATTTGTGCCTTTCTCAGAATAGCAGTACGACTAATAAACAAAACTAGACTAACTGGTTACAGTATATTATGAAAGAGTTCAAGGTATTTGTGTGCGTACTGTATGTGTGTGCGTGTGCATGCCATGCATTGCAGTTTATAATTAGAGGTTCAAAGCTGTTGGTCCACTAAACAGCCGCCTCCGCTCAATTGTCTGTCTCAATTGTCTTCGTGTTTTTTCATCTCTTTTGTGTCACAGCTGATGTCAGATACCTGCTAAGAGGACAACGATGACCACCAGGTGTGTCTGCAGCAAGTGGAAACATCTGATAAGCGAGCCTGGCTTCTTCACCCTGTTAAGTTGAAGAAGTTTAAGTTTAGTAAATAAACACAGGGGGCTAAAGCTTTATTATATTTATTCTGACATATGACAGAAGAAAGAGTCAGACTGAGTCATACTAATCTAGAAAAGCCCTACCATCACACCCATGCTAACAAATGCTGAAAGGCTGTAATTAAAATGTGTCTTAAAGGTTTTATCTCCAGTTCTGGTTGTTAACAGATGAGTAATGCCAAATGAAACACTTGAACGATTTCAAGATAGTGAGCGCGGTCTAATAGAACAAATTCATTACCTTCAAAGTGCACATGATGTATGGAGTACATACACCATGAATCAATAGTTATTTTTTCATGTTCATTTGAATCTCTTATTATTAGGCAGCAAATAATTTGCATGTACAATTCTCCAAACTTTGCCTCCTATTTTTTTAAATAACAAGCAGAATAACAGTGAGTAAGTGGACTGACTGTATAACTAAATGTCTTCTTTCACATCCATGGAAAGCGTCATTGTTATTGGCACATAGGGTGCATCCTCTCCTATATTCTTATATAACCAGTAACATCAGTCCTTAAAAAATGCGTGACTACTTTGCAAATACAAAATAACAACAAATAAAAATTGTAAATAATTCGATTCTGTGACTTAAAAAATGACTTTAATGTTATTTGATGCCGCATAAGGAAGTGATTTATAGATATGAGCGCATCTGTATGAACCATCTGGATTAATAATCCTGACTGAAACCAGATCCAGCTGCTGTTTCTGAGTTAAGATGTGTTTCCCTCCACATTAAGGAAAAGGAGAGACACCGCCACCAACACCACCTCCACCGCCACCATCTCGCTTTACCTGACTAAAGGAGCAGATATTTGCTGGCAAGGAAGTCTGCCTGAAGAAATCCTTGGATCCTTCATGACTCTGTCTTCATTTTTGTGGAACATAGCTTCCGATGGGCGAAGTAAAACGTTCAACAACAAACATTAACAGTCATAAATCTAGCCAGTGCTCTCGGCTGTGTGCTTTGTCAATTCTCCACCACTTTCTCATGCACAATCAATAGCTGACACACGTGGCACGCCCATGAGACGTCAAGGTGAGCGGGTGGACGTCACATACATTCTCTTCAGCTCTGGCACCTTTGGTTTAACATTTCAACACCACCCAAAGAGGAAGCTGTCTGATTGTAAAACTAGACCCAAAAATAATAACACAGTCCGATCGTCTGCCTTTAAAGTTCCCTGTAGGTTTTTGGAAGGAAGAGATTTATGTGTTTCTTTTTCTTTTTTGTTTGTCAGTACAGGTGTGCCTCAGGGTGTGTCATAAACCTGTGTTTTCAGTAATAGACACAACTGAAAGTGTTTCCAGGACAACACTGCAGGGCTCTAACATTGTGGCCCTGACTGCTACGAAAAAAAAAAGAAGTCACGCACCATTACTCTGTAAGTGCCTGTTTTTCAGGACTGTGAGCAGTCTGTCAGAGTCTGTCTGTCACACACCACCACATGAGCACGCTCTCTTATTTCCTTCTCTGTTCTGCCTCTTATGCTTGTGTTTACAGTTTTTCTCAGTCCCTTTGGTGCTTTTCTCAGATCAGAATAATAATTCTCAAAACCATTAGTGCAACCTCCATAACATTTAGTCATTTGTGCACATTATGGTACCAATTTCTCCTTCCTCTGAACAAATTGCAAATGCTCTTGGACATGTATCAGTTGCTTTCATACAATTCTCTGCGGTCGACAACATTATCATTTTCTTATGTCATGTCAGTCAAAATGAACTATACCTTTGGATGCTGAAAGACTATTAGTTCCCAATAAAACTAATAGTCTTCATTTCATTGCTTGAGTCATTACATACAAAATTGGTGAAATGCTGTCAAGCAAATTTTATACCTTTTTTAAATGATTTTTTCCTGGAAATGTCCCCGAAATTGAACAATTTCTCTCAGGTGAACTTCAGCTTTCACTGATGAGGAGGTGTGTGAAGTATTAGTTGTAACCACTGACAAGCCTCTTGTTCACAGTCACTCATGGATCAATCCCATGAACCCTCAATTGGCAAGCATATATGAACCGAGCAGGACATAGTTTGTACCATCCATTCACGTCCGCTTATCCTTTTCAGGGTCGCGGGGGGTGCTGGAGCCTATCCCAGCTGTCATAGGGCGAGAGGCGGGGTACACCCTGGACAGGTCGCCAGTCTGTCGCAGGGCCAACACACAGGGACAGACAACCATTCGCACTCACATTCACTCGCACATTCACACCTATGGGCAATTTGGATTAACCAATTAACCTATCCCCACTAAGTGCATGTCTTTGGACAGTGGGAGGAAGCCGGAGTACCCGGAGAGAACCCACGCAAACACGGGGAGAACATGCAAACTCCGTTTGTACCATTCTTTTACAATTCTGTGACACAGAAATGGGAGGTCAGCATGGTGGAAGAGGGGTAAGGATGTGTGTGTGTGTGTGTGTGTGTGTGAGGGGGGGGGGGGGGGGTGGGGGTTGTCAATCACAGCCTCACAATGGATGAGGGCGGTCGGAAGGTGCAACCAAATGTTGGAAGAACCACTGTGAACAACCTCGCAGAGGTGGAAGAAGGCCTGTTTTTACCCAGCAGCAAGAGGAAGCCATTTGTGCAAGGGTGATTGCATACAATGCAATAAAGTTGAAAGAATTCAAAGTGCTGTCATAGAGGATAACGGTGTATTTGGCCACATTGGATCTGTGTCTGACACATGATAGAATGCTGGTTGAATATCTCCCTCCCTACTCCCCATTCCTTAATCCGATAGAGGAGTTTTTCTCTGTCTGGAGGTGGAAGGTTTTTGACCGGCATTCACATGCGCAAATGGCACTGCTAGCAGCCGTGGATGCAGCATGTGACGACATCACAGCAGAGTCATGCAGAGGGTGGATTCGTCACTCCAGGAGATAGTTTCCTCATTGCATTGCAAGGGATGATATCCGTTGTGATGTAGATGAGAATATGTGGTCAGACAGACAGGAACGTCTGGATGTGCCAGCATGATTTACGTATGTTCAGTTACAATATGTACCGTTAAATTGTTCACATTTGTGCACAGCTCTACCAAAAGGGTGTTTCTTATGTTTATTCTAAATAAGTGACTGTAGAGTATTTTTCTTTTGCACAGTGTTGTAGAATTACAAACAGCCCACACAGTAAAAATGTGAAACATACATATTCAGTGTCTTGTACTCACTTACTTCCCTAACTACAGGAATGTCTAACTTTTCTGTAGATTTTCCTGTAAATGGCTGTACAAAAAGTGTATAGTGCTGTCTTGAGCATTTTTAGGTAGCGTCACCGAGTTCTGACCTTTTTGGATTGGAAAACACTGAGAGAATACTGTGAACTGTCATAATGAAAACATGACAAAGCCATTTGACTATCTTGTTCATAAAGATGGTGTCAAGACTTCTCACTTTGATGACACCGGCAGTTTCATTGACATGAATACTTGCTTTTGAGGAATGGATTATCGATTTTGAGCAAGTGACCTGCTTTTGCAGGTTATCCACTAGGTTTTGCAGTTTGCACCAAATGTTTTGAGAAATACACTAACTGCTGTGCAAATGTTAATAGTGATTTGAGAAAAGCACCAAAGCGACTGAGAAAAACTGTAATTAAGGAAATGCACCGCAAAATACAGTTACAACCTCAAAATGTGGGTGAAAGCACTGCACAATATTCATGGTATAGCTTTAAAATGCTGACATTGTCAGAGCTTCTGTTTCTGATCTGAATAACATAAGACATCAAGCAAGAGGGATAAAAAGCTGAGTGATTTTGATATTCATGGAGCTCAGGTGTAGTGTGTTTCAGTAGGTTGTGAGGACTGTAGATAGATAGATAGATAGATAGATAGATAGATAGATAGATAGATAGATAGATAGATAGATAGATAGATAGATAGATAGATAGATAGATAGATAGATAGATAGATAGATAGATAGATAGATAGATAGATAGATAGATAGATAGATAGATGTAAAGATGTAAAACTATTGCAGTAAAACTTTGATCAGGAAAGAATTAACTGAGAATGCAACAATGTGTGTATTATTTATTAAAGTAGATGCCCAGTGATACTAGTTGGATAACCTTGTAAGAGAGTAGCTATATGATTAGAGATGTTGCTAGCCCGATTTTTTTGTATCCTTTAGCTACTTCCCCTGTTTTTAATGGCTTTGCTTAGCTAGGTAATTATTTCCTAGTTGCGGTATCGTGCTAAAGATATAGAAATGAGCAGTATCTATGTTGCTCCTCACCAAAAGAGGAAATTAGTGCATATTTCTCAAGATGTTTAGCTGTAAAAAAAAACGAAGGGCTTTTTTTTTTGTAAAGCTTTAATATCTAATGGTCACATTTAGATCTAATTTGAATTAAGATGCCTCCCGCTGAGCTCTTCCATTGCAGGTATTATCAGTCTGGTGTCCTGCTGGCTTTCTGTTCCACAGCACACTGTTATGCAACTGAGTGAACCTTTTCCATTTCCCCCTCACATTCTACATCCACTAATAAATTTAACATATTTCCATGCGATTGCCTTGGAGGCTCAAAGCCCTTTGGGGTTACATCAGGTAGTCAGGTAAATTGCACCAAAATAAACATGCGGCATGGCTTGCTGTTGTGACCCCTTGTGAATAAGGGAGTGGCTGAAAATGTCTTTCTTTTATTTCCATGCAGTTATTGTGCACTGGATATTACCCAAGATATTTCATTTCGTATAGAAAAACCTGTGTTGCTTTCAGGACTGTGTGCAGCCTGCAACTTAGTCCTTATTTGGATGTAAGGTCAGATGTGTCTATTTTATAATTTGTGTCAACCTGTGAAGACCATTAAGTTTCCCATTGTGGTCATGAGAAGGTGTAGGTATGATTGCATGATTTTAATACCGAGTCACTAACACAGGGCACACATTTGACACCTGAAGAGCCAGGAGTTCTGAGGAAAAACAAAAGCTGTGTTCTCCTGAACATGCTTAGTGTTTTTGGTTTGATCTGCAGAGAGTGTTCAAGATATTCACAGAGGTCAGTAAAAGAACACACTACTGTCAAATAGATATGGATCTATAGCAGGATGTCAAATTTATACAGCCCAGTTTGATCATAAGTGGGGCAGATTGGAAAAACCCAGGTTGGGGTTTAACAACATATTTAATTCTTCAGGTATCTTAATATAACAAAAGGATATGCTGCTGTAGTAAATGAAAGAAACCTGTCAGCATGAGTCTTTGGGCTTAAATTTTAGGAAGTAATTGTGTAAAATTAAAGAAAACGTTTTTCTAACTCATTGCTAAGACTGTAATTATACAACAGTTAATTCACAGAAAATATCCCTTTTTCCCACTGTGAATCCACAGAAAAAACAAAGTTCTACAGTAGATACTGCAAAAGGGGAAATTTTCTTTCATTTTACTGTTTATCTATTACTTCATTTCTTTGGTGTGGTATGAATGGCCCTGGGGGAAATGCAATTAAAAGTCCAAAATTTATGCCCTTTTTCACATTTTCCCATTGGGTTAAATTGGGGTGTTAGCCAGGCTGATGAAGGCCCCCGAGTCTTATCTTTGAAACCATTTAAATGAAATGTTTTTGAAATTCAACACATTCAGCAAATTTTTAAAGTTTTTGCAAATTTTACACACAATTTTCTGTCAGGTGAGGAGGATATTAAACATGAACTTGTTTATAAGTGCTCCACTGGGCCCCTTCAGTTGAAAGTGTGATGCACTAAATATCAATAAAGTTCAAGGCAAAGAGAATGTGAAGCCCGAGTCAGACATTTAAGAGCATACACATATTTATTTTCAACATGTACTGTATTTAATGTATGGATGTATGGATGTATCTGATCCAGCAATAAAACAAAATCCTACAAATGTTTATGCATTTTGGATAAAAACTCTTTCTGTTATAAAATCAAGCATGCCAGAAACACACGTAAACATTCATTAAACTATCAGCCGTTCACTTCCACGGCCGCTCTCAGGTTTTCTTCAAGTTACAGCCGAACACTTTTTCATTAGACATCAAGAAGGACATCTATACTCAGCAGACTTGAATTCATGTCATCAATTAATTATTATTATTATTATCCGTCTGTTTTTGTTCATTTGTGCAGTTGTGACAAGAGTCAAAAAAGGAACAGTTCGTTTGTTTTTTTCTGCTGCTTACTCAATGTGCTATGCATACATG